TCTCTACTAAAAATACAAAAAATTAGCTGGGCGTGGTGGCGGGCGCCTGTAGTCCCAGCTACTCGGGAGGCTGAGGCAGGAGAATGGCGTGAACCTGGGAGGCGGATCTTGCAGTGAGCCAAGATCGTGCCACTGTACTCCATCCAGCCTGTGGAACAGAGCGAGACTCCGTCTCAAAAAAAAAAAAACAAAAGGAGTGAAGTGAGCCAGCGCGGTGGCTCACCCCTGTAATCCCAGCACTTTGGGAGGCTGAGGCGGGTGGATCCCCTGAGGTTGGGAGTTCAAGACTAGCCTGACCAACATGGTGAAACCCTGTCTCTACAAAAATACAAAAATTAGCCCAGGCATGGTGGCAGGTGCTTGTAATCCCAGCTACTCAGGAGGCTGAGGCGGAAGAATCGCTTGAACCTAGGAGGCACAGGTTGGAGTGAGCTGAGATTGTGCCATTGCACTCCAGCCTGGGTGACAGAGTAAGATGCCATCTCACAGAAAAAAAAAAAAGAGTGAAGTGCTGGTGTGTGCTGCAACATGAATGAACCTTGGAAACACCACGCTAAGTGAAAGGAACCAGGCACAAAAGGCCACTTAGTGTATGATTCTGTTTCTGGGAAATGTCCACGGTAGGCAGTCCATAGAAAGTACACTGGCATTTGCCAGGGGCTCAGGATAGGGACGTAGAGAGTGACTGCTTCATAAGTACAGGTTTTCAGCCGGGTGCGGTGGCTCATGCATGTAATCCCAGCACTTTGGGAGGCCAAGGCGGGTGGATCACTTAAGGTCAGGAGTTCAAGACTAGTCTGGCTAACATGGTGAAACCCTGTCTCTACTAAAAATACAAAAATTAGCCAGGCATAATGGCAGGCGCCTGTAAACCCAGCTACTCGGGAGGCTGAGGTAGGAGGATGGCTTGAACCTGGGAGGTGGAGTTTGCCGAGCTGAGATCGTGCCTCTGCACTCCAGCCTGGGTGACAGAGTGAGATTCCACCTCAAAAAAAAAAAATTTGCCTGGTGTGGCGTGCACACCTGTAATCCCAGCTACTCGGGAGGCTGAGGCACAAGAATCGCTTGAACCCAAGAGGTGGAGGTTGCAGTGAGCTGAGATCATGCCACTGCACTCCAGCCTGGGTGACAGAGTGAAACTCCATTTCAGAAAAAAATAAAATAAAATAATAATAAGTACTGGTTTTCCTTTTGGTGTGAAGAAAATGTCCTAGAACTGGACAGAGGTGGTGGTTGTGTGACATGCGAGTATACTAAATGCCACCTCCAAATTGTTCACTTTAAAAGGTTCAAATGGTAAATTGTAGATTATGTATATTTTACCACGTTTTTTTAAAAAGGCTCCCTTGCTGTGCAAGGTGGTGAGAGGGTGGGTGTGGGTGTGACCTGGGGCAGGTGACTTGGCATGATGCTGGGATCTGCCTGTCACCCGCGTCACAGAGAAATGGCCGAGTGTGCACCCCCGTCGGGCTTCCACTGAACTCCAGATACCCAAAGCCACTGGGGAGGAAAGGGCTTAACCAGAAGGCCCGTAACAACAGGGAAACTGGATATGACTTACTGTCAAATGAAAAAGGAATGGAGAATTGTGTGTGGGCTGAGATTCCAGCCACTCTGGCCAAATTAGCAATGGTCTTAGTAAGGAGATGAAAGGAGGCCTGGAAGGGGAAGCAGCAGATGTACGAGGGTGGGGGCAGGGGAGGTGTGACAGCTCCTCCCTGGATGCCTTGTCATGTTTGTAATGAAACCCCAAGTCAAGTGGGGAGGTGTGGGGTCCGTGGGTTCGGCTATTGGGAAGGTGAACAATGAACAGGTGGCCGCTGGTTTCCGCCTCCAGAGGGAAACTGTACAGAACGTGAGCAGGGGCCGCCCGCGAGTGCTGAAAATAGCACCCTCCGCAGGCTGCTGGCGCCCAGGGAGGGGGAGAATTCGGGCTCCTTCAGGATAGAGAGTGGGTGCTGGCAGTGGCTGCCAAGAATTCATTAGCAGCATCTCTGCCTCCTCCAGACAGAGCCGGTTGGAGAGGAGAGCATCTCCGACGCAGAGAAGGTGGCTATGGAGCTCAAGGACCCCAACCGCCCCCGGTTCACCCTGCAGGAGCTGCGGGATGTGCTGCACGAGAGGAACGAGCTCAAGTCCAAGCTGTTCTTGCTGCAGGAGGAGCTGGCTTACTACAAGAGGCAAGTGTCCCTGGGGCTGGACGGCCCAAGCTGGCTTCTGACTGAGGTTAGCCAGAGTTTCTGTACAGTTACCTTCTTACCCCCTGGAAGATAAGCATTTCATCAGTGTCTTTTTTGGGTACCCTCTCTGGCCTAAAGAACTTACATACAAGCTCACGACCCCTTTCTGAAACTCTTGGGCCCAGGCCAGGCACCGGGGCTCACACCTTTAATATCAGTATTTTGGGAGGCCGAGGCGGAAAGATTGCTTGAACCCAGGTATTCGAGACGAGCCTGGGCAACAAAGCGAGACCTCATCTCTTTTTTAGATGAATGAATGAATGAAACCCGGCCCCGGTGTGACTGTCTTTGTGACCCTTTTCACCTCCTACATTATCCTGTTCACTCTCATGCTTGCTTTATTGTTGGTTTCCACATGAGACCACAAGCAACATGAGACCAGAAGTCTTATTTATTTTGTCCATGGCTAAGTTCCCAGTACTTAGAATGGAGCTTGGCACATAGTAGGTGCACAACAAATATCTGTTGCATAGAAAGCTGGAAGGAAGGACCCATGCACCAGAGGTGGTCCCTGCTCCAGTGGGGAAGATCAGAGATGCATAAAAAATATAATACCACGCATTTTTATTGAAAGGTTTACTGACTGTACACTGGATGTTCAAAGATGGGAGAGGCTGGGCGTGGTGGCTCACGCCTGTCATCCCAGCACTTTGCAAGGCCGAGGCAGGTGGATCACTTGAACCCAGGAGCTCAAAACCAGCCTGGGCAACATAGTGGGCCCCCCATCTGTACGCAAAAATTTTGAAAAATTAGCCAGGTGTGGTGGCTCACCCTGTAGTCCCAGCCACTTGGGAGGCTGAAGCAGGAGGATCATTTCAGTCCAGGGTCACAGCTGCAGTGAGCTATGTTTGTACCACTGCACTCCAGCCTGGGCAACAGAATGAGACCCTGTCTCCAAAAAAAAAAAGATGGGAGAGTGGGAGAGATCTGGTTTGTAGATGGGGTGGAAATCGGAAGGCTTCCTGGAGGAGGCAGCATTTGAACTGGGCCTTCCTGGAGGGATAGGGTAGTATTTAGATACGGGAGATGTTGAGGGGTGACGGGTATATTCTGGGTAGAAGAAACCACAGAGGTGTAGAGACAGGGAAGCCTGTGTAAAGACAGGAAACGGGGAGTGGTTCTATTTGGCTGGACTCTTCAGAATAAACTGGAAATACAGATGCGGGTCCCCTAAAAAACGTGCACCCTCTCAGACCATCAGACAGTTCTCTTTTGGAATGTTCCAGTTCTCAAGGAACTTTTGACTCTTTTATCTCATGCCTCTCATCTCCTTCCAGTGAAGAAATGGAAGAGGAAAATCGAATACCCCAACCCCCACCCATCGCCCACCCGAGGACGTCCCCCCAGCCAGAGTCGGGCATCAAGCGACTGTAAGTGATGCGCTGCTGGCTTCTGCGCTCGGCTGACCTGGCGGTTCACGTGTTCTTTGACTTTTCCTCCTTGGCACCTGCTCCCAGGGCCAGGCTTGTCACTAACCACATCCTGCTGAGACGTCTGGCCTGGCCTCCGACTTTGAGTTCATCTCCCTTCCCGAATGCTGAGTTCCTCCTGGGGGTCTCTGGGCAGAGAGGTTTGGGGAGGGCGGGAGGTGAGAGGAGAGAGGCTTGGGCCAGTGGCTGATACTCAGCAGCTTGCTTGAGTGTGTTTCGGGGGGTGGGGTGCATCTCTGGGCCTTTGAGGACAGGAAATAAGGGTAGGGAGGTAGAGGGTGGTTTGTGCATCTTAAGCTTGAGACCTCAGCTCTTGAGATGTTGAGTGGCCCTGGGTCCACCCAGTCTATGCAGTTCTCTGATGACTCATCTATGTAGCCCTCTGTCCAATAAGCATGGGTTACTGCATAATGCATGCAGAGTCAGGCCTTCAGGAGAACCCCCCAAAAGAGAGTGACCTCCTCCCTGCGCTCAACTAGACTTTAAGCTACTTCAGTGGTTCTTGGCATCAACTGATTCCTTTGAGGTTCTGATAAAACCTCCTGAAATTTCCCTCAGAGAAATCTGTAAAATTTGTGTCAATTTCAGGAGGTTCATGGACCCCCAAAGCTCTTCAGATACAGGGTTAGCACCTCTGGTCTCGTTAGACAGTATCTACAAAGAAGCTAACACGCGCTGGGTCCTGTTCCCACAGAATATCTCCCTGAGCCCTCAGCATGCTGTTGTGGGGTGGAGGCATCATCATTCCCATTTTATAGTTAAGGAAATGGAGGCGCCGGCCTAGGGTCATTCAGCTAAGAAGAGGCAGAGCCAGGGCTCAAACTCAGGTGGCCTGGCCCCAGAGCCCACGCTGTGAGCTCTTTGCAAGACAGCCTTGTGCCCGCGGTGTTGGAGCTGCCTTCTCTCCCCTGAGAGGGTCTTCCAGGCTCTGGGCCTGCCTTCCAGTTCTTCTATCCAAGGCTTAGTACAGAAGAGGCTTCAGTTCTTTCCTCCAAAACCCAGAAGAAACTTTGTGAAAACAGGGCGTGTGGGTTGGAAAGCCAGATGGATTGTGTAGGGAGAGGCAGCGGAGTGTTACCCATATGCCCCAACCTTTAAAATCCAGTTAGGTTTGGAAATTTTGGGTTAGTTCTTGCCCTGTGAGTTGACAATGCAGAACCGTGCAGGTTTGTCACTGCTGGGCCCTCTCCTCTCAGAAATTGGTGCCCTTGGGGCTGGGCACAGTGGCTCACACCTGTAATCCCAGCACTTTGGGAGGCAGAGGTGGGAGGATCACTTGAGTTCAGGAGTTCAAGACCAACCTGGGCAACACGGTGAAACCACCTCTCTACAAGAAGTACAAAAATTAGCTGGGTATGGTGGCATGCACTTGTGGGCGCAGCTACTCAGGAGACTGAAGTGGGAGGATTGCTTGATCCCAGGAGGTCGAGGCTTCAGTGAGCCAAGATTGTACTACTGCACTCCAACTAGGGTGACAGAGTGAAACCCTGTCACCAAAAAAAAAAAAAAAGGATAAGAAAAGAGAGAGTGATAAAAAAGAAAGAAAGAAAATGATGCCTTGCCCTTGGGCATGGCAGCTCACATCTGTAATCCCAGCACTCTGAGAGGCCAAGGCAGGAGGATCACTTGAGGCCAGGAGTTTGAGACCAACCTGGGCCACATAGTGAGACCCTGTCTCTACAAAAAAATTTTAAATTGGCCCAATATTCCTAGAGAGTACAGGCTGGTGCATGACTCCCTTCCAGCTTCATTCAGGCTGCTTAGGAGTTTGGCCCCAGGTCCCTGATGCGTTGGGGAGGGAGTGTGGCTGCAGTTCTGGTTAGAGATAAACATTTCCTAGGGAACAAGCATGACGCCAGAAAAGCTTCCTCTAGATCCCAACACAATTTAGCTCATGGATTCAGTAGTAACCTTCCATTTGCAATTGAAACTCAACTCAAAGTAACCTAAGAAAACGAATTTAGAGACCAGGCGCAGTGGCTCACGCCTGTAATCCCAGTCCTTTGGGAGGCCTAGGTGGGTGGATCACGAAGTCAGGAGTTCAAGACCAACCTGACCAACATGGTGAAACCCCATTTCTACTAAAACTACAAAAATTAGCTGGGCGTGGTTGGGCATGGTGGTGCGTGCCTGTAGTCCCAGCTACTCAGGAGGCTGAGGCAGGAAAATTGCTTGAACCCGGGAGGCGGAGGTTGCAGTGAGCTGAGATTGTGCCATTGCACTCCAGCCTGAGCGACAGAGTGAGACTCCGTCTCAAAAACAGAAAACAAAACAAATTTGGGGCCAGGCTCGGTGGCTCACGCCTGTAATCTCAGCAATTTGGGAGGCCGAGGCGAGTGGATCAACTGAGGTCGGGAGTTCAAGACCAGCCTGACCAATATGGAGAAACCCCATCTCCACTAAAAATACAAAAATTAGCCAGGCACGGTGGCATGTGCCTGTAATCCCAGCTACTTGGGAGGCTGAGGCAGGAGAATCACTTGAACCTGGGAGATGGAGGTTGCAGTGAGCCAAGATCGTGCCACTGCACTCCAGCTTGGGCAACAAGAGTGAAACTCCATCTCAAAAAAAAAAGAAAAAAGAAAAAAAAAAAAGAAAACAAATTTGGCTAAGGAACTAAAAGTTCCAACTTGCCACAGCATGGGGCTCAGCTGGATCCAGGCCTTGTTTCCTCCACCCCTGACTTGGTTTTCCTCTGTGGGCACCATTCTTGGGTGTCCTTTCCAGCCTGAGGATGGCAGCATGGCAGCCCTTGGCTCAAGTTTCATTTTTTTTTTTTTTTTTTTTGAGACGCAGTCTCACTCCATTGCTGAGGCTGGAGTGCAGTGGCACAATCTCAGCTCACTGCAGCCTCTGCCTCCCGGGTTCAGGCAGTTCTCTTCTGCCTCGGCCTCCCGAGTAGCTGGGATTACAGGCATCTGCCTCTACGTCCGGCTAATTTTTGTAATTTTAGTAGAGATGGGGTTTCTGCATGTTGGCCAGGCTGGTCTCTCGAACTCCTGACCTCAGGTGATCCACCCGCCTCGGCCTCCCTGAGTGCTGGGATTACAGGAATGAGCCGCTGCACCCAGCCAGGCTTCATTTTCTTCCGTCTGAAACTTCAGTGCAGATTCTCTGTTTCCAAGAGTTCCATCAGTCACAGAAATGAGTCCCATTGGCTCCAGCTGGGTCACATGACTGTCCCTAACCCAATCACAGGACAGCACGTTGATTGTCCAGGTCTGTGACTCCTTCTCACCCCTCAGGCTCAGAGCACTTTTCCTCTATCCAGTTCCTGTGGCCTGAAAGTAGGGGAAGGGACAGGTCCCCAGGTAAGATCAGAGTGCTAGATAGACACTCTTTGGGCGGAGGTAGCCTCACCTTGGGAGGAGGAAGCCCCTTCAGTCTTGATTCTGTGCAGTACTTAGTGCCAGGAAAAGTTTCTCATCCAGTGCTTGTTAGGAAATGGGACTGGCTTTGCTTAAACTCTGACTCACTCGCCAGCCCCACTCCTATGTGAGAAAGAGCAGAATCTATCTTGTAGGCTTTGATAGCTACAACTTTGAGTTTCAGGCCTGGAGAAACTGCAGGAAGCTTCATGAGCCCAGATAGTCTCTGCATGGGCTGAGGGAGGGGAGACCAAGACACTTCTGTTCTGCATCGTTCAGCCATTTGTTCCCAGGTCGTTAAGAATTAGCCTTTCAGGTCAGGCCTGGTGGCTCACACCTGTAATCCCAGCACTGTGGGAGGCTGAGGCAGGTGGATCACAAGGTCAGGAGTTTGAGACCATTGTGGCCAACATGGTGAAACCCCCATCTCTACTAAAAGTACAAAAAAATTAGCCAGGTGTGGTGGCGGGTGCCTGTAATCCCAGCTACTCAGGAGACTGAGGCAGGAAAATTGCTTGAACTCCAGAGGAGGAGGTTGCAGTGAGCCGAGATCACACCACTGCATTCGAGCCTGGACAACAGAGCGAGACCCCATCTCAAAAAAAAAAAAAAGACTCAGCCTTTCTAGCACCTTCACTTTCACTTCCAATGTGCAGGATTCAGAGCCTCCAGCACCCACGGTCAGATGTAATTCTAAAAATTCCTTCCAGAGCCGAGTTTTTCTAACTGTAATTTTCTACTCTGGGCCTCTTTCTCTAAACAGACAATTCAATTGGCTTTGCAAATTTTGTATTGGGTGAAATCCAGAGGAAAGTCATCAGAATTAGCCAGCGAATCTTTCCACTAGTTCTTCTGCCCACAACTGAATAGGCTGTGGTGTCTGTCCTTCTTTTCCAGATTGTTCCAGAAAGGACCCTGGGGCCCTGTTTTCAGAACTCTTCCCCACTTAGGTTGGCTTCTGGTTGCTCAGGAAAATGTGGGGCTCTGAGCCTGGCATGGACAGCAGCTGGAATCAGGGAGCCCGAGAGAAAGACAAGAGAATGAGACCAGAACCTCCCAGCCACAGGGTGCGGGTGACCAGTCCCGTGGCAGCCCCACTTGCTGGGGGATAACTGGGAGAGCAATCTGGCACAAAGGGCTTTTGACCAGTGCAGGCCAGACACTGGTCGCCTTTGTCCACCTCTACTGCTGGCTGGAAGCTATACCAGTGTGGCCTGTGAGCCCAGAGGCTGGGAGGAGCCTGGGCAGGGACAGATCTTCCCTGGGCTGGGGCAGGGAATGACAGTTCCCGAGGCAGTTCTGAGCATCCTCCCATCCTTCATTCCTCCTGCACCCACCTGGTCTGCCGGGTCTCTTCCGCCCTTCCTCCAGGGAGTATGAGCCATGCGGTCGCTCAGGGCGGCTCTTCAGCTCTGCTCCACACTGTTAACTTACGTATCCCACCCCTCCTCCTGCAGCAATTCATAGCAGCCAAGGAGGGTTCAGGGGCCTCGGCAGCTTACAGCACTTGAACTAAGGTATCTTCCATCCTGTTGGGGACCCAGAGCTGGGATAATTATCCCTATTTCTCAGATGAGGGAACTGAGGCCCAGAGAAGCCCACTGACCTCATTTAGATCAAACTGTTGGGAAGGCTGTCTTCAGATTTGAACCCATGCCTTTTCTGCTCCCACACCACCCCCCACCGTTTTCCCGCTCTCCTCCCCGAGTCCCTGGTGGTGGCCCCTTGTCTGCACAGTGCACCATGAGTCACAGGCGTCAGACTTCACATTTCTAGACTGAACCGGACAAGGGAACCAGAAACTCCTGCTGCCAGTCAAAACAGTGTGCCCCGAAGATGTTCTAAGAATAGTTTGTGATTGAGCAGCTGCTGGCCAGAGAGGCCAGGCTGGCACTGCCCAGGAAGGTCACGAGGGAGTGCTGGAGTGACTTCAGCCTCGTCCCCAGTGAACACCAGGCACCAGTGCCCCCCTTTGTGTGGTCCCTGTCTGTCAGTCATGGTCCCATCGACGCACACACAGCTGCCTTTTGCAGGGCAGGGGCCAGGGGCTGATTGGGAGATAAGACGACAGGTGGGGGTAGAGGGGGCCGGAGAAGCAAGGGATGAGAACTGGCCTCGAGGACCGGAAAGGTTGGCTTTGGAGTGGGTGGCCACCCAGGTGTCCAAGGGTAGCAATGACAGTGCATTCTATCCCTGTCCTCCCACCCACCACCCCCCCGCTCCAGCCCAGGAATAGCTTCTTCACAGCCGCCCATTACACTGCCTGAAATGCCACTGGTAGAACTTCATTTGGTTTGAGTCTTCCAGAAATATTTGGCGGGGAGTGGGGAGTTAAAACCAGCTACAGGGTATTTAAGACAAACTTCGGGCCAAAACAAGTCAATCTTTTTATGGAAATTGCTGTACCTCTAGAGGAGGTGGCTTCTGCAGGGCAGCCCCTGGAATAGTAAGGGAAGGGGCTGCCCACTCAGTGAGTCCAGCAAGACACACACAGGGCTGGGCGCGGTGGCTCATGCCTGTAATCCCAACACTTTGGGAGGCCGAGGTGGGGGGATCGCTTGAGGCCAGGAGTTTGAGATGAGCCTGGGCAACATAGCAAGACCCTATCTCTACAAAAAAAAATTTTTTAATTGGCTGAGTGCAGTGGCACACGCTTGTAGTCCCAGCTACTAAGGAAGCTGAAGCAGGAAGATCACTTGAGCCCAGGAGGTCGAGGCTGCAGTGAGCCCAGATTGTGCCACTGCACTCCAGCTGAGCAACAAAGCGAGACCTGTCTCTAAAAAAAAAAAAGACACACAGATGGAGTAACTCCGTCCGAACACTCCAGGTGTCCCAGGCCCCCAAGCATCGGTCACCCCCTGACAGGGCCCTAAACGAAGTCCAGCATTCCCGGTGGTAAACATCTGTCAAGGCAAAACGTCCCCCCGTATTTGAGGCCACTTCCCACACAATGACTGTATCTTTGTGGGCACCCTCTTTGGGTGTCGTGGCAAAGGTGGTTACAAAATGGTGTGGTTTGGAGCCCCTGGAAAGCTAACTGTGCCCAGTAGCCTGGCCTCTGGGGCCCATTCACTTAGCAGAAGGCATCTCATCTTCTCCATGTCATCCTGAGAAACCATCCAGGAGGTTCTGCAAAGACACCAACTCCTGGCCAGGCGTGGTGGCTCACCCCAGCGCTTTGGGAGGCCAAGGCGGGTGGATGACTTGATGCCAGGAGTTCAAGACCAGCCTGGCCAACAGGGGGAAACCCCGTCTCTACTAAAAATACAAAAATTAGCCCAGCAGGGTGGCACACACCTGTAGTCCCAGCCACTCGGGAGGCTGAGGCAGGAGAATCACTTGAACCCAGGAGGTGGAGGTTGCAGTGAGCAGAGATTGTGCCACTGCACTCCAGCCTGGGTGACAAAGCGAGACTCTGTCTCAAAAAAAAAAAAAAAAAGAAAGAAAAGAAAAGACACCAATTCCCAGCTACCCTGTGAAGCACATCAAAGGTGATCCAAACACCTAGAGCATCTCCAAACCTCATTTGAGATAATTATTTTATCTTTATCCAACCAACCTTTTTTTTTTTTTTTTTTT